TAGGCCTTCAGAAGAAGACATCTTCATGGCTCCTGAGAACTAGTGATTTACCTTTCTGTTTTGCTTTTTTAAAAAAAAAATTTAGTTTTTTTTTCCTTTTTGTCGCTGTTTCTTTGTTTTTGTTGTTGTTTTTCTCTCTCTGTTTCTTTTTCTTTTAACTCATCTCTCTACTTTCCAATCTCCATTCACTGTGTTTCTAGATAGATGTAAGGGAAATATAGCCAAATATACAAATACTATTAAGGTTAACATATTCCTCAATATCTACTGAATCTGCTGTGCAAAGGGATCAAAACGAACAGCAAAGAGTTTCCAGATCATCTCTTTCTGCACGGTCCTGAACACTCAAATTGAACTTTAAGTTTAGGAAGAAACACACCATCCATCAGAAGACTAGAAATCACCCCAGGGCCATAAGAACTATGGGAAAGCAAGAAAATACCTCTCCTCCAAGCAAAAAGAGTAGCTCCTCTTCATCCACAGAGCATTCAATGGAAATCATGGAAATGTCTGATAAAGAATTTAGAATATTCAAAATGGCAAAGCTAACAGAGATGGTAGAGAAGAAAGACAATGAACTGCAGAAGAGAAAGGAGGAGATGATCAGTTCCAGGAGGTGAGGAAATTTTTGCAAGATCTAAAAGACGAATTACACACTTTTAAAAAGAATCAAATGCACCTGTTAGAGATGAAGGCTATAATACAGTGTCAAAATCTCCCTTGAAAGTATTAAAAGCAGACTAGATCATACAGAAAATAGAATCTCAGATATAGAAGAGAAAATTGCTGGCCTAGATAAATCCACCTCAAAGACTGAGAAAATTGCCCCCCAAAATGAGAATAATATACGAGAAATATTAGATACCATTAAACGTCCAAATATCTGGTAATTGATATCCCAGAAGGTGAAGAGACTCATAAGGTCATTGATAATCTATTCCATGAAATCTTGCAAGAAAACTTTCCAAACCTAGAGAGGCACTCAAAGATCCAGTCCCATGAAATACAAAGGACCCCAAATAGAATCAACCCAAGAAGATCTTCTCCAAGACACGTTATAGCCAGATTGATCAAAACCACAAAGACAAGATACTAAGATTGCCAAGGGAAAAACAGCAAGTTACCTACAAAGGATATCCCATCAGGCTAACAGCAGACCTCTCATCGGAAACAATGGGAGTGAGGAGAGAATGGGAAGGTATATTCAAAATGTTAAGGGAAAAGCAATTTGAACCAAGAATATTGTACCTGGCAAGATTATCCTTCATATGGGGAGAAAAGACAAGAACATTCTCAGATAAACAAAACCTGAAAGAATTTACCAGCACCAGACCAGATCTCCAAGAAGTTCTCAAAAGAGTGCTATATCAGGAAAATTAAATACAGACACATGGAAATAAGAGTCAAAACTATATATATATACATATATATATATATATACACACATATGTGTATATATATATATATATATAAAATCAACTCTAGGTTATTTTATACTTAATTAATTTGAATAATTGTCTTTCATAGTAATCAACATATCTTAAGGACTCAAAATTTTGAAAATTTAAAAAATTTTTTCAGAAAAAGTTATGTTCAATTGGAGTTTTGTTAAATGTATTATATTTCTAACAATAGGAAAGCTATGCATTGCATGCATAATATTTTCCATTGTAGAGAAATATTGCTGAAACAGAACATCCCATTCCTTAAAGGTGTTAGGTAATTCGGTAGTTAATATCCTTTCTTCCCTTTATTTCCTTCTCTTTTACTTTCTTCTTTAGCATCTTCCCTATGTCATTAATGAGAAATTCATGTCAGCAGTTTATTGAATAAAAAAAGAAAGCTGTTGATTTCCTTCTTCATCTTAGCATTTTCTTCAAAGTGGAGATGCTGACCAGCTCAAAACTAGCAGATTGGTACAGATATTTTATAAATTTGTGCCTCAACCATAAACCTCAACCAAGTCCTCTAGATTATTACAGGAAAAGGTGATTTCTCGCTTTCTGTCTCTATGTCTCTCTCTGTCTGTCTGGCGAGCGCACGCGCCCTACAGTGAAAATCTCTCAAAAAAAAAAAAAAGTTTCAGGAGAAAACAGACAAACATGAAAACTGTCCTTCTTGAAATTAAAAAAATATATATATGCATTAAAAATACCTATCTGATGACTGCGGTAAGCCATATAGCCCCAGCTAGGTGCTACATTATAGCATGTCCATTCTACTCACTGAGGCTTATGCCTAAAGTCAGACTTCTGTTCATGGATATGTATATATCAGCTGTGCTAGCTATTGAAAATATATAGATTTAAATATTTTTAGAAAAAAATAAAAAAGGGGGGGGGGGGGGAGGCATAGAAAGCAACCATGGATACCAGAGACAATGTGGGAGGAGGGTAGGAGATGGCAGAGGGTAAGAGATAGGGAATCAAGGATAGGAGAAAAAGCAAAATATACAGGAAGCAAGAAAATTATTTGTTGACTAGAACACATATGTTGATGTGCTTAATTGAGCCAATATACTGTATATTCTGGATGGAAAATTTCATTTTTTATGCTATAATGATATATAGTAAATGGATGTAAATAAATAAATTTAAATTTAAAAAGCCAGTCACAATAGAGTTCTAGTCTACATCATTCCATTTATAAGAAAATCAAGAATAGGTAAAACTTATCTTTGTGATAGAAATCAGAAGATTGATTGTCCTGGGGTAAGAATTGACCAGAGGGACCAGAAGGGAATTTTCTAGGCGAATGGATATATATTATATTTTGATTTGAGAAATTACACTGGTATATACATTTATCAAAACACGGGAGATTGGATATTAAAGTCTTTACACTAACTTTATCTCCATAAAGAAAAAAAAGAGATATTAACTATTTTGACGATTCCCATGTGTCATGTAGGGTAGCTGTGGCCCCTCTAACAGCTTCCTGTTATGAACAGTAAACTTGAGAACTCCTTACCTTGGCATAAGGGCCCTGCATGATTTGGCTCTTTCCTATCCCTCTGCCTGCTACTCTTCCCTATGTTAGGGCCTAGCCCTGCTGATTCTGCTGTCTAAAGCAGGTCATTTCTTGATATTTCCTAGTTTATTCTCTTTTTGTTCCTCTCATTACATGTAGGGTCACTCATTTTGTCTTTATATCTTTTCAAGTACCTTTTCCACTAGAATATAAGCTCTGGGAGGGTAAGGACCTTGTCTTTTTCACCATTTTATTCCTTATAGAGCTCTAGGATATTGCCTGCTTCAGTATTTGTTGGAATGTTTGAATGAGTGAATGTTCCTGTAGTTCAGTATGCTAATAAAGTGATAAGATACTCAAATGTTTCTCTGTAGTCTGAATTTTAGCAATTAGACAAAATTAAATAGTCTTATCCCTATAAACAAAGTAAACCTTTAATACAACTGTGTTGCAGATGAGTGCTAATACAGCCTTCTTTTTTTGTTCCCTTATTCTTTCTTTTCCTTCTATTCCCTAATTAGAATTTCCTTTTTTTTGGAGAGATTTTTGCTATAGGGCGCGTGCGCTCGCCAGACAGAGAGAGACATAGAGACAGAAAGCAAGAAATCCCCCCCGGGGGGATGGTCACGCTGAAATCCCTTCTCCTCCATTCTCCTCTCGGGATCTTGGGCATGCACACACATGCGCCCAGCATGAGTTTTAAGCCACCGGGTCCGGGATGCGAACCGCGGTCGACTACATGGGATTCCAGTGACATAGCCATTACGCTAACTGCCAGTTCCCCCTAATTAGAATTTCTTACAGAAAAGAACTAATAGTTTCCCTGATGCACAGTAGTGTTAATACTTTTGCATTTTAAACCTTACCTCTGACAATGGACTGAAAGGCATTGTTGCTTTTTAAACGATCTTATGTTATCATGAAATGCGGGTAGGGTAGAATTTTTAGATCCTGCCTACTCTGATATCACCTCACCTAATGTTTGCTGTATTTATTCTTAACATTATCTAACAGTAGTTTTCCACATCAAGGTATGTAGACTATCGTAGATGGCAGCAATACTGAAATTAGAAAAGTGAGAAGGAAGAGGTAAAGAGGAGCTATAGAAAAGGTCATGTTGATTTTAAAAACAGTTAATTACAACATAAATATTGACAATAGTGTATTTGAGTGAATTTTGGTCCCTTTAGGGGATTGCTAATAATAGAAGAATTAGCAATGTAGTACCTCAATACAAAGTTGCAAAAAATGGGGAAAAGGCATTTATTCATAGATAAAAGGAGTCTTAGAGGAAGCATCAATTCTGCAATATAGCAGCCCGAGACAGGTTTGGAGATTTGAAGCTGCTGTGTTACCTCTGAGACCTAAAGGAAGCAGAACATAAAAATGAGCCTCTATCAATTTGAAGCAAACCTAATCTTTGTGATCATGGCTGTGGTCTAAATCTATTAAAGATGTTCAAATGCAGTGTCCTTGGTATCACTGTGGGTTGACCTGAATAGTGAGCAATAAACTTAGGTATTATAATTCTGGTCGGAAGATATGTGCTTAGGAAGTGAACTCGACAGTCAGTGCTTTGTGTCTGTCTCTAAGCAGACGAAGAGCCTATACAAAATGACAGGTGCATTTTTAGGGAAAAAAATGTTTTCCTATTTAGTAGGTGACAGTATGTCCCAAGATAACACAAGCTTAAGGGGCTGGAACAAGCATGGTTATTAAAGGCTAGCAGTTTCTCAGTTCATACAAATTGAATTCTTTCATAGGCTGGAGAACTGTGGAAATCTACTGTAGAGTTCTGAAATAAATTAGCATATTAAGTGAATTTATACATTCAGGCTTGTGAGCACTTTGAGTTTAAGGAAGAAATTTTATTGCTTCTTGAAAGAAAAAGGCAATTCTTAAGTTCTGTGTTTGATCTTTCTGTTGGAAAGGGTCTATATAATAAAATATATAATCCTGATCATTATCCAAGTAAATGGTTACTAAATTGATGGGAATCTTTTTCTCTTCTCTCCTGTCTATTTTTTCAGAATTACTGATTTAGGGAACATCAAAAGAAGATTGTATTTATCGACAGTTCATAAAGAACTGTCTTCAACCCCTCTTCATGCAAAAATCCCACTCTTCATGATCAAGCGCAAAATTGTAAGTATCACATGTATGTTGCCTTAAATGTTAAATTTAGTTCAGCAAATACTAATTATGGGTCTGCTCTCTGTATAAAACACTTCATTAAATACCATATGATATTGGATGCAAATGTCCCATGTGTTCAGGCGACTACATTGGGCTGCAGGAAAAGATGGCCATCTCCACAGACAAATTGTGAAAACAGAATATATAGCCTGAAAGTAGAATGTGGACCTACATACCCAAAAGCTCCTCCATCAGTTAGATTTGTAACAAAAATTAATATAAGTGGAATAAATAATTATAATAAGATGTTGGGTGCATGGAGCATAACAATGTTAGCAAAATGGCAAAACTCTTACAGCATTAAAGCCCTCCATCAAGAGCTAGGACGTCTAATGATGTCCAAAGAAAATATGCAACTTCCACAGCCACCAAAAGGACAAACATATAATTAATTTTAGAAGCTCTTAAATTTGTCTTAAATCAACAACCTTCTACTCATATAAATGTCTTGATTGAATATCACAGTGCAAATACCCACACATTAAGTAAAAGAATTCCAGCTGGTAAAGATAACTGGACATTTATAAAATATATTTAATATATGTACACTCATTATATTTTCAAGTAATGAGGAAAAATGCAACACAGTTTTTTTTCTCTTGTTAACAGGAGCTGTCATTTAAATGTAAACCTGGAGGACTTGAAATAGAATTTGAATTTTCTTTTTCTTAAATATTTATTTATTTATTTATTTCCATTTGTTGTTATTATTTTAATTTGACCAGACAGAGACAGAGAGAGAGAGAAAGGGAAAGTGAGAAGGCAAGCTGCCAGGTCTGGGACTCGAACCATGGTTGTCCATGTGGGAATCCAGCACCCTTAACCACTACACCTCCTGCTGGCCCCATAGTTTTCAAGATGAAAGCATGGCAAAAATTGTCAGATGGCAGTGGTGTAAATATGTGTGTTTCTGGAAAGTAAAAAAATCTCAAAAAGAAAACCAGAAATGACTTTATCTATCTCACTTAGTGAAAGAACTGCAGTCGAAATTGTTTAAGATAGCACGTACAGTGAATATTGTCACAAATTGTGTTAATTTTTGAAGCGATGTGGGCGCTGACTACTAGTAGAATCAAAAATGTGTTCAGGATTGTTTTGATACCTGTATTTATAATAAAAAAAATGTTGGGGGTGTATCGATGAATTTCACTTAAAACTGTTCCTGTATGTTACATGTAGCAGACATGGTAAAAATTCGTTTACAGTTTTATTTAACAAACTTAAGTCAAAGTGAAGTCAACAAAAAAGTAATAGCTATATGAATATGTGATTTTGAGATTAAAGTTTGTCTTAAATATAAATAAAATGTAGAACATGTCCTCACGAAAAAAACAATACCATATGGTATTAAAAAACTGAATAATACTTATCCCTTATTTTCCCCTCCCTTGAAATTTATTAAAGTGGAAGAATATAATTATTTGAACACATAAAATATTCACCAAAACAGTGATAGGAAGCTCAGTAAAGAGAGAAAATGCTACTGGCACTGTGAAAGGGAGAGATTTCCATTTGTCTACAGGATGAGCAAAGGATTTTTTTTTTTAACTTTTTTTTTTTTTTGAGAGGTTCTTGCAATGGGGCACATGCACTTGCAAGAAAGAAACAGATAGAAAGCAAGAAATCACCCCCCCCCCGGTGGGATGGCCATGGCACAATACCTTCTCCATTCTCCTCATGGGACCTTGGGCACGCATGCACACACGCCCGGTGTGAGTTTAAGCCACTGGGTCCGGGACATGAACCACAGTCAACTACATGGGAGTCCAGCGACATAGCCATTATACCAACTGCTGGTCCCTAAAACAAAAATTTTTAAAGAATTATTTTACTTAAATTTATTTATTCATTTATTAATTTATTTTAATTTGACCAGAGAGGGACAGAGCGAGAGAGAGAGAGAGAGAGAGAGAGAGAGAGAGAGAGAGAGAGAGAGAGAGAGAGAGAGAGAGAGAGAGAGAGAGAGAGGGAAAGTGAGAAAGCAAATTACCAGGTCTGGGACTTGAACCAAGGTCAGCTGTTGGAGTCCAGCACCCTAAACCACCCTGCCACCTGCTGGCCCCAGGAAAGGCTTCTTGAAAGACATGACACTTAGCAGGGGGGCTTGGAAGGACTCTGCATTTCAATAGAAATAGCCTGGCATTCCAAGCAGAAGGAGCTGCAGGAGCAAGCCTGGAGGCTGAAAAGTAGTACATTTTTTTGAGAACAAAAAACAATTCATTATTACTGCCAGATTTAAAAACAGCCTTAAGAAAAAATCAGACCAATAATACAACAGACTTACAGGAGTTGGCAGATTTTAGTATAACCACTGAAGGGCCTGATTTCACTGACTGATTTTTCAAACTTTAGTCATGCTAGTCTCAGTACTGTGTCTGTGTGATATTTGTTCTAGTATGTACTTAATATTGGCTTTAAATGACTCACTTTTTTTTCTTAAATTGATTTTTAAAGAAAACTTTGTCTCTTATAAAAAAAAAAGCAAGCCAGTGTGACTTTCCAAAGATAAAATATGAAAATAAACATACCGAAAACAAAACAATATTTTAAAGTTTAGTTAGTTGTCATTTCTTGTTTAATGCACTGTTCTGAGGCATGCTCTTTGTTCAACAGAATTATCAGACCCAGCAGGTGGCATTGTGGTTAAGGTGCTGGACTCCAACATGGCATACTGTGGTTCGAGTCCCAGGCCCAACAGCTTGAAAATCACACTGGGCATTTGTGTGTGCATGCCCAAAATCCCGAGAGGAAAAAGGAGAAGAAGGGATTGCAGCATAGAGAAGGGATTTCTCACTTTTTCTCTGTCACTCTCCATCTTTTCCCTGGTGAGAGCATGTTCCCTGTGACAAAAGCCTAAAAAAAAAAAGAGTTTATCAAGGATTAATACATGTAAAGCCTTTCTCCCTAGCATAGTTAGAAGGATCGAAAGCAGATTGTTAAAAGGAAACTTTATTCTGTGATTCAGTCACTTTAATGTCTTTAGCATCTGTTAATAAAATAATTTCACTAATGGTGCATTTCTACGCTTTGGGAACTATCATGATAGAGAAAAAGAAGTAATTAACACTTTTGGACTGGGGAAACAGTTAACATGCAGTCTGTTCTTTGGGAAGATTAACGTGGTAGTAATATTTGCAGTGCTTTGGAGGGTGCAGGAAATGGTGGCGTAGAGACCATTTTCAATAATCCAGGTAGGGCTACTAAGGACTGGGGTGGGAGCAGTAGGGGAATGGACATGAAGCAGTATCAGAGACTTCTAGCTAAATGAGCTAAGATGTACGTAAACAGAACTTTTCATGCAGTACAGTACATGTTGTGAGAATGAGAACCACAGTAAGCTATGGAGCTGGTGGGAAGTGGTCAGAGGAAGTCCCCCTGGAGAAGTGAGGCCTGGGCTGGGCCTTGGAGGATGTGAAAGAGTGACCAATTTAAGAAGCAGGGAAAGTGTCCCTGGAAGAGAAAGAAAAAACAATATTACTAGTAGCCACATGAGGCATAAATAAATCTTGCTTAAGGGAGACCAGGCTGGGAAAGAGGGAGAATGGGTAAGACTGGAGAGGGAGGAGGAGAAGGGGTAAGATTGGAGAGGGAGGAGGAAAAGGGCTAAGATTGGAGAGCCTATTAGAGGGCTTGCAGCAAGGAGTAACGCAGTCAGATAAGCATTTTAGATAGAACATCACTGAGGAGTATAGTGAGGAAGGTAAAACTGAGACATTCAGGCTGAGAATTTTGTAGCTACTTACACATTGGAGTCTCAGAGGTCTGGCCTCAGCATGGAAGGAGAAGTTCAAGCCTTGAGAACAAACAGATCGGTTTCCTGCACAGAGATTGCAGAGCAGCAACAACATAGAAAGAGGCTCAGAGGGAAATTCACGTGCCTTCCAGTAGAAGAGCCAGGCAAAGGAAAAAGAAGCTGTGAAAGGACAGGGCAGCAATGAGAAAGTGGCATGAAAGTGTAGTGTTGTGGAAGCCAAAGAAATTTTACTATGACGGAATAGTCAGCCTTGGGCATTCTTCGGGAAGTAGGGCAATCAGAGATTGATACGAACAATCCAGTCACTGAAGTTAAATCATTTAAGACATTAAGGAAAGTGCCTTACAAATAAAATTTGTATTCACCCTCTTGTGTTTAGGTATTGATTTCCTCATTCATGGGAGATGGTTTCGAGTTCAGTCTTAGGTGTTTTCCAAGAGTTAAAGCATATGTGAGACCAGTTCACTTTTGTATGTGTGGTTAATAAATCAAATGCTTTTGTGAGTTTAGTCAGTTAACTAACTCTGAAGTCTGTATATATTTCATTAAAATCTAAATGCAAAGGGCCATGTGGGGGCTCTTGTTTGGATCCTGGACCAACCTAAACAGTCTAGGTGAGGTAGCATATACCTTTAATCCTAGCTGACGAGGAGTCTGGGGTAGAGGATCACAGCGGCAAGACCCTTTCAAAAGTACCTCTCCCTCTCTCTCTCTCTCCTTCCTCTTCCCACTCTCTCTTGCCGCCTTTCTCATTAAAAAAAAAAAAAAGTCTAAATTTTTCTGTATACAGCTATAATTCATTCACACATACACAGCATACATTCATACATTTCAGTATTTGAAAATTAAAAATATTGCCCTTCTATCACACGTAAACCAGAGAAATATCTTGCTGAGGTTGGAAGTGAACTTGACTGGAAGATCTTTTGTATTTGATGACTCTTTCAAATAAATATGTGCTATATGCCAACAGCACTGGGTTATCTGATGGCATCAGAAGGCCATTTATTTAAACTACAAGGAAAAGAGCTCTAATAGGTGCTGTGGAGCAGCATTTCCTAGCCCTTTTCGACTCCTCTCTCTCTCCTTCCTCTTCTCACTCTCTCTTGCCTTCTTTCTCATTAAAAAAAAAAAAAAGTCTAAATTTTTCTGTATACAGCTATAATTCATTCACACATACACAGCATACATTCAT